GCTCATTTACCATTAAAACCGTAGGGTCCTTAAGAATTATGCTAAATCTGCTCTGCTTGTGCTCATAGAATAGCCATGCCTATGTACAGGTAACAGTATTTCAGTTTACAGCATGGTTTACTGAATATTTTAAGCCCACCGTTTAGACCTACTGCTTAGGAAAAAAAGATAGTTTTCAAAATATTACTGCTTATTGACAATACATATACCTGGTCACCCAAGAGCTCTGATGGTGATGTGCCTAAAGATTAATGCTGTTTTCATGCCTGCTAACACAACATCCATTCTGCAGCCCATAGATCAAGGAGTAGTTTCGACATTCAAATATTATTATTTAAGAAATATATTTTGTAAGGCTGTAGCTACCATAGATGGTAATTCCTCTGATTGATCTAGGCAAAGTACATTGAAAACTTTCTGGAAAGGATTCACCATTGTAGATGTCACTAAGAACATTTGTGAATCATAGCAGGAGGTCAAAATATGAATGTTAACAGGAGTTTTGAAGAAGTTGATTCGAGCCCTCATGGATAACTTTGAAGAGCTCAAGACTTCAGCATAAAAAATATCTGCAGATATGATAGAAATAGCAAGAGAATTAGAAGTAGAGCCTGAAGATGTGACTGAATTGCTTCAACCTCATGATAAAACTTGAACAGATGAGGAGTTGCTTCTTAGAGATGAGCTAAGAAAGTGGTTTCCTGGCCAGGTGTAGTGGTTCATGCCTGTAATCCCAGCACTTTGGGATGCCAAAGCAGGCAGATCACGAGGCCAAAAGATCAAGACCATCCTGGCCAACATGGTGAAACCTCGTCTCTACTAAAAATACAAAAATTAACTGAGCGTGGTGGTGCTTGCCTATAGTCCCAGCTACTCTGGAGTATGAGGCAGGAGAATGCTTGAACCTGGGAGGTGGAAGTTGCAGTGAGCCAAGATCATACCACTGCACTCCAGCCTAGCAACAGAATGAGACTCTGTCTCAAGAGAAAAAAACAAAAACAAAAACAAAAACAAAAACAGTGGTTCCTTGAGATGCAGTCTACCCCTGGTGGAGCTCCTGTGAACATTGTTGAAATGACAACAAAGGATTTAGAATATTACATAAACTTAGTTGATAAAACAGCATAAGGATTTGAGAGGATTGACTCCGATTTTTAAAGACGTTTTACTCTGGGTAAAATTCTATCAAAACAACATTGCATGCTATAGAAAAATCTTTCATGAAGGGAAGAGTCAATCAACATGGAAGACTTCATATTCTTCTTTTAAAAAGTTTCAACAGCCACTTCAACCTTCGGCAACCACTATCCTGATCAATCAGCAACCATCAACATAGAAGCAAGAGCCTCCACCCACAAGATTACCACCAATTGAAGGCTTAGATGATTGTTAGCATTTTAAAAAAATAAAGTATTTTTAAATTATGTTGTTTTCTTAGACACATTTAATGGACTGCAGTATAGTGTAACCATACTTTTATATGAACTGGGAAATCAACAAAAATGTATGACTCACTTCAGGTAAAATTTACTTTATTGTGTTGGTCTGGAACTGAATCCTCAACATCTCTGAGGTATGCCTGTATTCCCTCATTGAATCTTTGCAACAATTCTATGAAATAGGTGTTATTATTATTAACACCATGGACAATTGAAAAAAAAAAACAAAACCCAGGCCAGAGAAAGTAAAAGACTTGTGCAAAACCACACAGCCAATAAGTGACAAAGCCAAAGTTTTAATCCTGGCAGCTGGATCCTTTGGCCCATAAACTTGTCTCACCATCAGAGGGTTGGGCTCATGAATGGACAAGGCAGTGAAGCACCCACTCCAGTGCTTGGTATTCAGTTAGTATTCACTCACCTGTGGCTGATGTTGCTGTTGCTGCTGCTGCTATTGCCATTTTTGTTGTTGCTGTTCTTGCTGCTGTTGCTGTTGTTATTGTTACTGCTACTCTTGTTTTTGCTGTTGTTACTATTTGTACTTGTTCCTATTGCTGTTGCTGTTGTTGCTGCTGTTGCTGCTGCTTTTGTAATTTTTGCTGCTGTTGCTACTGCTGCTACTATTGCTACTGCTGTTGCTGCTGCTGTTGTTACTGCTGGTGTTTGTTTTGCTGACTTTGCTCCTGCTGTTACTGCTGCTGCTTCTGTTGCTATTGCTGTGGCTATTGTTGCTGCTGGCGCTGTTGTTGATTGTGATGCTGTTGCTATTGTTGCTGATGCTCCCGTTGTTATTGCTGCTGCTGTTATTGCTACTACTGCTACTGCTGCTGTTATTGTTGTTGCCTCTGATAGTGTTGTGGCTGCTGCTATTGCCACTACTGTTACTGTTGCTGCTGCTACTATTGCTGCTGTTGTTTTTTTTTTTTTTTTTTTGCTGCCGTTGCTGCTGTCGTTGCTTTTGTCATTGTTGCAGCTACTGTTGTTAATGCTCTTGCTGCGGCTGCTGTTGTTGCTGATGTTGTTGCTGCTTTTGCTGACACTGCTGTTTCTGCTGTTATAATTATTGCTGCCGCTATTGTTGCTGATATTGCTGTTGTTGCTTTTGTTACTGTTGCAGCTACTGTCATTGCCCCTCTTGTTGTTGCTGCTGCTGCTATTGCTATGGTTGTTGCTTTTGTTATTGTTGCTGCTGCTACTGTTGCTGACATTGTTGCTGCTGCTGTTGTTGCTGCTACTGCTTGTTGCTGCTTCTGTTGTTATTGCTGTTGTTAATTATGAATTATGATGCTGTTGCTATTGCTGTTGCTGCTGCTGCTGTTGCTGAAATTGTTGCTGCTATTGTTGTTAATGCTGTTGTCATTGCTATTACTGTGGCTGCTGTTGCTGCTGTTGTTACCACTATTGCTACTGCAGCTACTATTGGTGCAACTGCTGATGTTGCTGCTACTGTCACTATCATGGTTGCTGCTACTATTGCTGCTATTTTTCCTTATGTTGTTGCTGCTGCTATTGTTGCTGCTTCTGTTGTTATTGCCATTGTTGATTATGATGCTGTTACTATCGCTGTCACTGCTGCTACTCTTGCTGATGTTGTTGTTGCTACTGTTGCTGACATTGTCATTGCTGATATTGTTATTGCTGTTGCTTCTGTTGCTGTTATGATTGCTGCTGCTATTGCTGTTGTTTCTATTGTTGTTGCTGCTTTTGCTGCTGTTGTTACTGCTGTTGTAATATTGCTGCTGCTGCTGCTGCTGCTGCTGCTGCTGTTATTACTGCTATTTCTGTTGCTACTGATGCTGTTGCTGTTGCTGTGGCTATTGTTGCTGTTAATTGTGATGCTATTGCTGTTGCTGATGCTTCTGTTGCTATTGCTGTTATTGCTGTTGATGCTGTTGCTATTGTTGCTTTTATTATTTGTGCTCTTGCTGCTGCTGCTGCTGCTGCTACTGTTGCTGTTGTTGCTGATGCTGCTACTGTTGCTATTGCTGTTGCTGCTACTGTTACTATTGCTACTGCTGCTACTATTGCTTCTGGTGTTGCTGCTACTGTTTTTGCTGCTATTATAATTATTGCTGCTGCTGTTGCTGCTGTTATTACTGCTACTTCTGTTGCTGCTACTTCTGCTGTTATTGCTGCTACTTCTGCTGTTGCTACTGCTGCTGTTGCTATTTCTGTGGCTATTGTTGCTGCTGTTCTTGCTCTTAATTGTGATGCTGTTGCTTCTGTGGCTATTATGCTGCTGTTGCTACAATTATTGCTGCTGTTGTTGCTATTGTTGCTTTTGTTATTGTTACCATTGCTGTTGCTTTTGTTATTGTTGCTGATGCTGTTGCTATTGCTGTTGCTGCTGATGTTGTTACTGTTGCTATTGCTATTGCTGATACTACTGTTGTTGCTGCTGTCACTGATGTCGCTACTGTTGCTATTGTTGTTACTACTGATGCTGCTACTGTTGCTATTGCTGCTGCTGCTGATGGTATTACTGTTGTCATACCTGTTGCTGCTACTGTTACTGTTGCCGTTGCTATTACTATTGTTGCTGCTGTTGCTTTTGTTGTTGTTGCTGCTGCTGTTGTTGCTGATGCTTCTACTGTTGCTATTACTGTTACTGCTGTTGCTACTGTTGCTGCTGTTGTTGCTACTGTCGCTGCTGTTGTTACTGCTACTGTTTTTGCTGTTGCTGCTTTTGTTGCTCCTGTTGCTGCTTCTATTGCTGCTGTTACTACTGTTGTTGATTTTGCTGCTGCAGTTGTTATTGTTGTTGGCATAGAGACCACAGGAACTCAACTGACTTGATTGTACCCCTTCATCTGGAGCTTTAGAGAATTCCAAAACCATACGGTGATTTGGGTAAGCTTCTGCCATCTATCATCTTAGATTGGATTGGTCTAGAAATTGAGACAAGACTAACCAACTCCAGGTGAGGGTAATTCTGTGAGATGCTAGGTGGCTGGGAGCAGCCCACACCAGATTCAATATTGCTATAAACAGGAACAGGTTCAAAGGGCACAGCTGGGAACAACAAAATGAAGAAAGCAGCATTTCTACAATGAATATCAGCAATGCCCTGGCATTCACAAAGACAAGATGATTAACTTGCAATTTAAACAAATGTTTTAATTGCAGTCTTCATTTATCAAGCTGTTGAAAAGTGAATATACTTTGAGAAAATAATTTTTCAAATTCTATTTGTAGGACTAATGATAACAATGTCTAAATTTTACAATCTTCATCATATATATATCATCAACTGATATAAGATTTGTTTAGACTTTAACCCACATTCTCTATTACAGAGAAAGGCGAATACTCTAAAAAGGAACTTACTTAGGCCAGTTCCAATTCGATAAGAGAATTTTAGGAACAACCTTGTCCACATGAGCTGTCAACAAGTTCTGTCTATTTTCTTTGTGAGAACCACCACTCAGAACACATTGCAAGACTAATTCTGAACAAAGCTTATCATTATTTGTTGTTTCTCTTATTTTTACCCACTTTATTTTGGTTTTCAGCCTCCTCATGATTTCTTTCTCCCCTCCTCTTTTTTATTTCTTATTGCAGACCAAGAAAAAATAAAGAAAAGATGATTTACCTCCAAGTTCAGGAAGTAGACATTCCATTGAACTAAGAAGAGAGATCATCACTCCTGCTGTGACTTCAATTTGATGACAGCAAGACCAAAAGCAGAAATTTCTGCACTCATCTCAAAGCCCATACAGCTCAACCCATCTTACCCTTGAGCCCTGTCAACCTAGATCTATAGCCAGTGAAGGCTATTGTACCACTGTGGAAAAGTATACCTATGGGACCAGATCCTGCCAAGTTCTTACAGCTCACTCTATTCTCAGCATTCCTAGGACATTGGACATTGGTTTTCCAGAGGGTTCTTTTTTTCCATCTTTGTATTTTTTTAAATTTGATTTTTTATCTACAATGCTATCTAACCAGAATACATAGGGGAACTGTGGGCCAGGGAAATCAAAATAGAAAAAAAAAAAATCTGAAAAACAGTAAAGTTAGAAGAGGAGCATCTGTTTTCTTAAAGAAATAAAACATCCAAAACAATATAAAGTTGTCCAGAATGTATGTCAAGAACTTTAGATAGCCCTTTCAGTAACACAGGTGAAGACATTTTAAAAAATACGTTGATTATTATCTGGATTAGACTTAAAGTGAATCTCAAATAAAAGAATCAGGAATACAACTTGAGTAATCGTGAAATCTTTCCATATTTAGACTGGATAAGCATGAACGTGTATTTTCTACAAAAGATCTTGAGAAGAGTTCAGTAAAAAATGTTAACATTATAAAACCATTATCATTTTTTATTCTGGAAAAAAATGTCTCAATTTGTAGATTTTAAAATACATGTTAATATTTTATAAAAGTAATATAAATACATTTTAAAAGCTAAATATTATAAGGCTTATAATGAAAAACAAAATTTTCTTGCCCTATTTCACCTCTACCAATTCCTCAGAGAAACTTTCAACTATTTTAGGTGAATTTTCCCCTGAGATTTCTCTCCATACATCTAAATAACTTCTTTATATTGGCATTTCTTTGTTTTTCATTTTAAATATTATCTATATGGTTTTTAATATAAAAGATAAAAATGTAGCTCTCTTCATCTCTCCATTTTCCCAACACACAGTTTTTCTGTTCCCTTTGAACTTTATCACATTTTAATTAAATCAAATAGTGAATGTTCACATCATTATGGCTATTAACACTGGGTCACATAGTATCCTATTATTAGTACACTAATCATCAATTAGTGTACTTCCTTTCTTTTATAGTATCTCACTTTTCCTGCACACTGGTTTTTGTTGCTTTGTTTTCTACATATTCATCATTAATTTTTTTCCAAACTGTCTGAGAGAATAATAGCTCTCCTTCAATATATTTGAATACATCATTCATTGGTTTATCTTCTTTTCTTCTGTCCTGAGAGACCTTCCACCTGGAGCCCTCAACCATCCTGCTCTACTTTGGCATGGTGGATCTCTAGGTCTGCAGCAAGACTGTTGCCCTGGGCTCTCTTTCCCCACCTTCTTGAGCATTCCTTTTGTCTCTGCTCTGTGGGATCTCTTGTCTCCTGGATGCTATCTCTTTCTTGGTTTTTGTCACATTTTAAAGAAGCATATCTTCCAATAGCTTCCTGAAAAAGCATGCATGCATATCCTTCCACATTCTCTTCTGTGCCATCAAGTGTTGAAACTTGCAAATGACATTTCTCAGACCCTTTACCTGGCTTCCTATACAGCTCTACCAGTGGGTCACACTGGCTAGTGATGGGAAGGAAGGAGCAAGAGAGAAGAGAAACATTGATATTATGGGCTGTAGAATTGCATCATAGGCTGAATTCATTCCCTCATCAGATCTCTTAAACAAAAGCTACACAATGGGTAGGAAGGAAGGAATCTCAGAAGTGAAATGGAGACACTGAGTGAGCTCAAATGAATCTGAAAATCTTGAACTCCCATGATATGCTTTGGCTGTGTGTCCCCACCAAAATCTCACCTTGAATTATAATAATCCTCATGTGTCATGGGAGGGACCCAATGCAATGTAATTCAGTTGTAGGATCAGGTTTATCCCATGCTGTTCTCATGACAGTAAGTCTCATGATATCTGATGGTTTTATAATGGGGAATTTCCCTTCACATGCTGTGACTCCTCTTGCCCGCTGCCATGTAAGCTGTGCCTTTGCTCTTCCTTTGCCTTCCACCATGTCTGTGAGGCCTCCCCAGCCATGTGGAGCTGTGAGTCAAACCCCTTTCCTTTATAAATTACCCAGTTGGGAGTATGTCTTTATTAGTAGCATGAGAACAGAATAGTGAAGTAAATTGGTACCAGTGTCAATGAAAAGTATCAAACTCTGTAAAATATCTGAAGAGATTATTCTGAGCCAAATATGAGTGATCATGACCCATGACACAGCCCTCAGGAGGTCCTGAGAACATGTGCCCATGGTAGTTGGGGTGTAGCTTGGTTTTATACATTTTAGAGAGGAGTGAGACATCAATCAGATACATTTAAGGAATATATTGGTTTGGTCCAGAAAGGCAGGACAACTCAAAGTGAGGAAGGCTGGGGGCTAGGGATGCTTCCAGGCTAAAAATGAAGTTAAACATTTTCTGGTTGATAATTGGTTGGGTTTATATAAAGACCTGGGATTGATAGAAAGGGAATGTTCAGATTAAGATAAAGATTATGGAAACCAAAGTTCCTTTGAAGTCTAATAGTGGCTGCCCTTAGATACATACAATAAATGACAAATGTTTCCTGTTCATATCTTAGCTAATCTCTTTAGGATTGGGAGGGTCTGAAAGAAAAATATCTAGCTATGTTAATAGAGATTGTTTACAGATGCAAATTTTCCTCCTCAAAGAAGAGCTTTGCCAGCTCATTTCAAAATATGGCAAAAAAAACATGTTTTGGGGTAAAATATTTTTAATTTCTTCCTTGCTTTGTAATGTTATTCCAGAGTCAAGTAGAAAAGTTAGTCATGATATATAGGGTTAAATAAAACACATCTGGTGAAAATTTATGATTTGTAGGGCATAACTTCCCTGGTCCCTTAGATAGGTATTTGGAGAATATTAAAAAAAAAAAATCACAGTTTAGTTCTCACCAGGTAGGGGAGTGCTGCTGTAAGGATACCTGAAAATGTGGAAGCAACTGTGTAACTAGGTAACAGGCAGAGGTTAGAATCGTTTAGAGGGATCAGAAGAAGACAGGAAGATGTGGGACACGTTGGAACTTCCTAGATACTTGTTGAATGGCTTCGACCTAACTATTGATAGTGATATGGACAATGAAGTCCAGACTTAGGTGGTCTCAGATGCAGATGAGAAACTTGGGAACTGGAGCAGAGGTGACTTGTTATGCTTTAGCAAAGAGACTGGTGGCATTTTGGCCCTGCCATAGAGTTCTGTGGAACTTTGAGCTTAAGAGAGATGATTTGGGGCATCAGGCAAAAGAAATTCCTAAGCAGCAAAGCCTTCAAGAAATGACTTGGGTGCTGCTGGAAGCATTCAGTTTTATTTATTCACCAAGATATGGTTTGGAATTGAAACTTACGTTTAAAAGTGAAGCAGAGCATAAAAGGAAAATTTGCAGCTTGATGATGCAATATAAAAGAAAAACTTATTTTATGAGGATAAATCCAAGCCACAGTGGAAATTTGTATAAGTAACTAAGAACAAAATGTTAATCCCCAAGACAATTAGGAAAACATCTCTAGGGGATGTCAGAGACCTTTGTGGCAGCCCTTCCCATAAAGAGCCTGGAGCCATAGGAGGCTTTCATGGGCCAGGCTCAGGGGTCCCCTAATCTGTGCAGCCTAGGGACTTGGTGCCCTGCATGCCAGCCACTCCAGCTCTGGCTAAAATGAGCCAAGATATAGCTCAGGCCATGGCTTAAGATGGTGTAAGCACCCATCCTTGGCAGCTTTCATTTGGTGTTGAGCCTGCAGGTGACCAGAAGTCAAGAATTGAGGTCTGGGAACCTCTACCTAGATTTCAGAGGATATATGAAAATGGCTGGATGTCCAGGTAGAAGTTGTTACAGGGGTGGATCCTTCATGGAGAATCTCTGCTAGGGCAGTGTAGAAGGGGAATGTGGAGTTGGAGCCACCACAGAGTACCCACAGGGTTACTGCCTAGCGGAACTGTGAGAAGAGGGCCACCGTCCTCCAGACCCCAGAATAGTAGATCCACCAACAGCTTGCACTATATGCCTAGAAAAGCTGTAGGTACTCAACACCAGCCTGTGGAAGTAGGAGGGAGGCAGGCTGTACCCTGCAAAGCCACAGAGGTGGACTGCTTAAGGCTATGGGAGCCCACCTCTTGTATCACCATGAAAATGAGACATGGAGTCAAAGAAAATTATTTCAGAACTTTAATACTTAAAAAAAAAAGTCTGCTCCACTGGATTTTGACTTGCATGGGGCCTTGTAGCCCTTTTGTTTTCGGCCAATTTCTCTCATTTGGAATGGGTGTATTTACCCAATGCCTTTACCCCCTTGTATCTAGGAAATAACTAACTTGCTTTTGATTTTACAGGTACATAGGAGGAAGGGACTTGCCTTGTCTCAGATAAGACTTTGGACTGTGGACATTTTGTTTAATACTGTAATGAGTTAAGACTTTGGGGGACTGTTGGGAAGGCATGAGTGTTTTTGAAATATGAGGACATGAGATTTGGGAGGGACCAGGGGTGGACTGACATGGTTTGGCTCTGGTATTCCCACCCAAATCTCACCTCAAATTGTAATAATTCCCATGTATCAAGGGTAGGGCCAGGTGGAGATAATTGAATCATGGGCGCAGTTTCCACCATACTGTTCTCATGGTGGTGAATAAGTCTCATGAGATCGGATGATTTTATAAGTGGGAGTTTCTGTGCACAAGCTCTCTTGGCTACTGCCATATAAGATCTGTCTTTGCTCCTCCTTGCCTTCTGTCATGATTGTGAGACCTCCTCAGCCATGTAGAGCTGTGACTACATTAAACCTCTTTCTTTTATAAATTGCCCAGTCTTAGATATGTCTTTATTAGCAGTGTGAAAACATTCTAATACATCCCAAGCCCCCGGAACCTCTTTTGCCAAAAGATGCAACCTCTCTTTTCCTTTTTGAGAGAAACAAGCTTCCCTTACTTGAACACTTGCAATCATCTCATCTGAGGTAGCTGCCTTGAGAGGGAATGCTGGCACTTCTTAAGACCTCTCCTAGCCATTATTGTCCCCAGATATGTCTGGAGTAGATTCCCATGTACCTCTCAAGAGAAGCCAAAGGAGTCCAGTCTAGGAAAGAGATAGCTTAACTAGAAAAAGAATTTCAAGATTTTAAAACTTACATTGGCAGAAGTCAGGGGGGAGATTTAGGAACAAATTGTAATGATGCTAGACCCAGGAGGGTGAACACAATGTTGGAGCAAGTCAAATTTATTGATATGAGTTCCCTAATGCAAGATTCTAGATTTAACGTGCTAGCTGAACCATTGGCCACTAGATCCAGTAGTTTGCAGACCAACAGCTTTAGAAAAGATGTAAGGGAATGTTTGCATAATTTATAATAAGGAAAGACTTCTTAGTTAAGAACAAAATCCAGGAGACTTAAAAGATTGATCCATTTCACTACACAAAACAAGACTAAATAAAATGAAGCTAGGTGAGTAATGCACATGCACCATCATACACACCAAAAACAAATGTAGTAGATCAGTGACAGATTTGGAAAAACACTTCAGCATATAAAAAATATCCAAATGACTATTGTCTATACTGATAAGGAGCTACT